CTGTAACAATAATGTTTTAGAATAAAGAACAGTCACTGTTGATTAGGTGCATCTGTCTAAACTGATGCAGTCTAATGCAACAGCCTGGCAGTCCTGTTTTAAAGAGGTGTTGATTTAAAGCTACAGTATGCAACTTTTTCAAATATTTTTGTTGTAGAAATCTGCTCCAAAACTTGTCTTGATGTGATGAGGTGCTGTTGAAGCCTCCTGTGACCCAGACTCATTGAACAGCACTGGCAGCAGTGCAGATTTTCTAAAGGTTCTAAAGGTTTTTGATTAGGATTGACCTCTCTAACCAATCAGAGATTTTCAGATATCTCTGCTTGATCGGTAAGTTTTGTTGCATTTTGATTTATTGCAATTTCATAACAACAAATATCCGAAGAGCTGGATGGAGCTGTGGAGCATAGTGGAGCAGGGAGAGGGAGTAATGGGTGGAGCAGAGTGGACTGTTTTGGAGTTTCATGCTAGTGCTACCATAAGTTACATATTGTAGCTTTAACTGTATGATCATTGTGGAGGCCGTGTTTCCAAAAAGTGAGACAAATCACAATCTACAGCCAATCCTTGTAAAAGTAGCTAATTTTAATTTTCATTTAGGAGAGAGCATCTTATGTATCTGGGTTTATAAAGAAGACCTAAAATCTTAATGCTGACTTTAAGAATATCTAGAATATTTGTCATTTGGAATTACCTGGTTTTCTATGTGAATTGGTCATAAAATGTGATCTGATCTTTATCTCAGTCACAAGTATGGACAAACACAATGTGCTTAAGCTATTGCCACACAAACAATTATCGTTTTTCATGTCTTTATTGAACCCAGCCATTAAACAGTCAAAGTGCTGGTGGGAAAAAGTAAATGAACCCTTGGATTTAATTACTTGTTGAAGCTTCAGATCAAGATGCTACCTTCCCCATAATTTAGCTTTGGGATGATGTTTCCATGTTGATATGCAAAATGAAAATGTCATATTTCACAGAGAGTTGGTGCCGTCCATAAAAAACCCACTGCAGTGTGCACTACGTGTGGCATAAAAAGGGAATCGCATGCAAACACGAAAACATCATCCCAATAGGGAAGTATGGTGAAGGGAGCATCATGATTTGGGCCTGCTTTGCTGCCTTCTAGGTCTGGACCACTTGCCATCATGGAGGGGAAAATAAATTCCCAGGTTTATCAAGGAATCATAAAGGATAATGTCAGGGTGGCTGTCCACCAGCTGAGGCTCAGTAGAAGCTGGGTGATGCAGCCCTCTGTGTGTGAGAACAGGTCTTAGTCGTTGTCACTTCTCCTACTCCCCACACTCACCCTGAATATTGCCACTCAAAACATTACTATGCTGCAAAAAATGAGGGTCAAAATATGTAACTTTCTGTCCTAAAACTCACTCCGAATTTTGTCTGAGGCTCAAATGCAGCTTCTGTTGTCCCACTAAGCTAATTGGAGTTGGAAATTTTCAAAGTTTACAGTCTATTTAAGACAAATGTCCCTTTTTTGTTTCCTTGGTTAGTAGTTCTGTGCTGGGCTGCGGTGGAGAGATACCTTCTAGTGGTCACGTGTACATTTGTTTTTGTTGTTTAGCTGCTACTCAACTTGTGCTCACAGTTAATGTGGAAATGAGTTCTTACCTTGCAGATTTGACAGCTGGAGTATTTTTGCAGTAACATTTTCAATACAGGACTTTTACTTGTAAAATAGTATTTACTTTTCACAGTGTGGGAGTAGTACTTTTACTTTTGTAGAGTATGTGAATCTTCTGCTGTCAGGGACTGCATAGATAAGTTGGACCAGTAACAGCGAAATCAGTGGTACACCATGCTCTGATCTGTTCTCTGTAACAGTACTCACTCTTATGTAGAAGTCTCCATTGTCATCTCCAGAGCGGATGCGGAAAGTGTTGTAAGCTCCTGGAGATACGCTGGTTGCCTGAATCTGGAAGATGTCGGATGGTACGGAGCGCTCTGAGGTGATGCTCATGTAGCGGTGGACAATAGAGAAGGGCAGATCTCGACAACCAGGCTTGCTGACAGGACACACACAGCGGCTAGACACGCACAGAGAGGGGCAAACAGCCAGGGAGAGAATCCACTTTGAGTAATAGAAGTACATGAGTTTTTGTCATAGTAATAGTAGACGTGGACAGAGACAATGGACCAATGGGCACAGAGACAAAACAGGCCACCCTGACCATAAGCGTAAGACCAAAACAGACCTATCTCTTAGTATATGCAGAAAAACATCAACAGTAGTTCACAAATCAGCCAGCAGAGGGAGTAATGTGACTGAGAGAAAAGTTCTCCTAAACTCTAAACACATAGTTAACAGTAGCTGGTTTTATCCCCCTCATGTTTTTCTAAAACATATTTTATACCACCAAATCATTTGAGATGTGTTAATAAAGACCCACACCTGTTACCAATCCAACACTTGTTCACAACTGTAATAGTTTTCTTATTGCACTGGACCATATTCAAAAGAAAAGGTTGCCAAGTTGGATTCATGTGTGGAAAAAGAAATTGGAGTAATCTTGCAGTTTGAGCCAATACAGGGCCTGATTATATTCTGAGCGGACGGCCAGCACATATTTGAGTAATTGGGAAAAGGTGTGTGTAAGTATGTGTTTGTACAGGAACACACACAAGCTTTCATGAGGTGTCACTCACTTGTCAGAAACTTGCAGGTATGGGTCTTGGCATCGGTTTTTGTCCACACACTGGTATCGGCCATGGATATTCACACAGGTCTGTGTCTCAGTACACTGATGTTCACCTGTTTCACATTCATTTATATCTGCAGAGGAAACGCAGCTCATGATGTTTGATTTAACAGGAACAGGACAAGACAGAAGTGTACAAGAACAGAGCTGCTGTCAAAGAGTGAGTAAGTATTGACTCAGTGCAGCATTTGTGACTGAAAGCACAAAGTGGAAGGTGTTAGTTTTGGGAGAAGATGGAGGCGGGCGGGTGTGCTTACCTTGGCATAGTCTTGAGCCTAGCAGTTGGTATCCTTCCGGGCACACACAGGAGAACTTCCCTGGTTCGTTGACACACTGGTACTGGCACAGGTAACTGGAGTAGCTGCACTCATCGATGTCTGTCAAGTTACATGTTTAGGTTTTGTTAACCGTCCAGAGCAGAGCAGACAAATATCATAAAAAGGCAGAGTGGCTTTCTTACCGTTACAAGCAAAGCCATCAGGTCCCAGCTCATATCCCTGGTCGCAGCGACAGAGGAAGGTGCCATACGTGTTGTAACACCTCTGAGAGCAGGGGGCACCCATGTCACATTCATTCACATCTGAAAGGAGGGAAGACTCAAACCTCAGTGTGCATGATACAGCCAAGTGAACTTATTACTATGAGTGATGGGAACCATCATGGACACACAGTTTGAACCTGTCCACGTGGTTTTTCAGACGTGATACGAGCTCTGTTAGAAACAGGTGATGTCACAGACTCTGTCTGTGCACCAATTATAATTTAGCAATACTGAATATAGTGATAGTTGTAGGCTTTTTTGCTTATGTTGTAAGCAAAAAGCAGATTAGTTTTTGATGTTAAACTATTAATGAATACCTCCAGATGTTAAGCACTACATATTTAAGGGATGAACCCACATGCAATGGCTGTGACAGTTGAGTCTTGCATTGAGTGATGGAAAATAACTATGTGCATTCGAAGTAAGTGTAGTTTAGTATTTTCCTTTTGTGCTAATTAATACTTTACTCCGCTACATACATATATGATCAGGTTAGGAGCTGAATTGATCAATGCATCAGTCAATTGATAAAGTCATCAGCAACAATTGTGATAGATGGCAAGCAAGAGTGCTAATCACTGTGGTCTTAGCTTCTCAACGGACAATAAACCACCTGAATACATCATCTAGAGCACTGCAAAACTGTGGTATTTTACAGACTAAACAATCAGTTATTTGGAAAAATAACCTCATTTGTGAAAATATTTTAGTTGCAACTCTAATTAGTTCATTAAAATTATGCATTAATACAGATTAACCTGCCAAACCAACAACTTTGATGAGATACAACATTAAATTGCTTCTCACATGATTATGCATCAGTAATAATACATTTTACTGTTAACACTTTGATACTTCTACTGAAGTAAGATTATGAATGCAGGACTTTCACTTGTATTGGAGTAGTTTAACATTGTTGTAATGCTGCTTTTACGTAATGATGTTAGTACTTCTTCCATCGCCTGGCTGTGTCACTCACCAATGCAAGATCGGTTGTTTCCCGCTATCTGGAAACCAGGTTCACACTGACAGGAGAAGGAGCCGGGGACATTGACACAGCGATGCTGGCAGTACCTGTACCTGCACTCATCGATGTCTGAGAGAGAAAAGCCACAAGAGCTTATTATGCTCACTCTTGAAGTTACAATTAATTCACCTCAAGCCACATAAGCAAAAAATCTTTCTGAGTTGCCATATTTAAGCCTGCTTAGCTAGGCTAGTTAAATTCTGGTTATCTTACCTACGCACTCTGTGCCAACCTTGCGGTAACCATCTGGACACTGGCAGGTGAAGGCACCCAATGTATTGATACACTGCTGACTGGGCAGGCAGTCATGTTCGTCTCGCTCACACTCATCAACATCTATGTTTGTGGGTGGAGTGAAACAGGGACACACATGTAAAAACTGTGGTTACTGTGAGCAAACGCAGCATAATTTCTCATGACTGACAGATACAGTGTGACTGTTAGAGGGCAGACGCTGGTGACTCTGTTCCCCTCCGTTGCACTTGACAGCTGAGGATATCACATCACATTGAATCATGTTTGCTGTCTCATGCAGGCCAGATGAACACTGCGCTGTCCTTAACCACAAGTAGCTTTTCTTGCTTCAAGCTCAGTTCTTAAAACACAGCAGCTGTCCTCGTGTGAAACATTCCAAATTCCTGCACTGTCTGTCTGCCCCCCATGGACTCACACCCACACAGATTGTACTAACACGCTGCCTCCAAGTCCCAACACCTGCCATGGCCACCTGTCCCTCACAATGTGTGGTCGCCCACAATAAATTTACACAAAGATGCTTGATGATCACTCATCCCGTGGCCACCTGTCCACCTCCAACCCCTAGACCTACAAACCAGACACCCACCCACACAGCTGTCTCCCTGTGGCTCGTAGCCCAGCGGACAGGGGTTAAAGGCCTCAGTGGGTGTGATGGGGGGCTCTGGAGCTGGGATGAGTGACGCAGAGCGGGGAAGGCACAGGTACCCTCCGTAGTGGTTGAAGCACTTCATTTCCCCTTTGCAGGCATCTGGAATTGTCTCACACTCATTTATGTCTGATGGGAGATGCAGAGAGAGAGGTAGTTAAGTAGAGGGCATGAAGTGCAGTGGGCAGAAAAATCAAAAAGGCAGAATAGGGCCTGAAGAGAAAAGGACAATCAAAGCCATTCCCGTACACTGGTGTCACTGAAAACAGAGCTTTACCTTTGCAGTGCTCAGTCTGAGC